ACTACTACTACTAGCACCACCACTACGACTATGAACATTCCGACTAGTAATAATAGTAGTGGTGAAAGCATTATGATTAGTATTGTGTTGATCGCTTTATGATCATTGGTTTTGGGATTTAGGGTTCCGGGATTTAGGACCTTATGTTTGAGGGCCTCGGTAACGCAGGAGATGCTCTCAAAAACCCTAAACCCTAAACCGCCTCACTTGCAAGGCGGGAGGCCTTGGAAAGCTTGATCTCAATCACGGAAACGTTGCGGGCATCGGTAACCTGTGGGCATACGTAGGGGCATAGGGTTCAGGGTTAGGGTTTAGGGAATTGGATAGGGTTTGGGCGGCCACCAGAGCAAAAACAAAACAAGCGCAAGCAGGCAAACAATGGTAAGTAAGCACAAGAGACCTCACTTAGGAAGAACCCGTATGTACTTCAAAAAGCCCTTAAGAGCCACCAAAACATGAATCAACAAAATCTATACCGCAAACCCTACATCCCAAACATAGAACCCACATAGATCCCCCAAAGGAACCCGTAAAGGAGCCCTACACCCCAAACCTTAATGTAGGAGCCTTAATAACTAGAATAGGGTTTTGGTGTATATTATGCTATAATTATGATAAGGAACCCCCCAACATGGTATAGGTAATTATTTAGGCCCCTAAGTTACACCCCCACACCTTATTTAAACAACAAAAAGCTCGGTGGCCTTGTCCAGGCCTTCCTCCAGAGGCTCATACTCGTCAATAATCTCGACCTCGCTCGGCTTAGGGCTTGGGACTTAGGGCTGAGGGTTTAGGGCAGCTTAAGGGTTGAGGTTGAGGGGACTAAACCCGAAACCCTAAACCCTAAACCCCAAAACCCTAAACCCCGAACCCTAAACCCTAAACCCGAAACTCCAAACCCTAAACTCCAAATCCTAAACCCCAAACCGGGTGATGGAGGTCTGGGTCGCTGGCTCGGTGGGCAGTTGTTCCAGGATCCATCGGGATAAGGGTTTAGGAGCTCGAAGGTTTAAGTGGCTTTAGCGGCTCAGAGTGTGGGGTCTGGCTTTTTGGGTTTAGGCTTTTGGGGTTTAGGGCTTTTAGGATTTTCAGGGTTCTTGGGTTTAGGGCTTTAGGGGTTTAAGTTTCATGGTTTTGGTTTTGGGGCTTTTCTGCTCTTGGGCCTTGAGGTTCAAGAGTTACCAGGTTCAGGGGGTGCCGGGACTGCTTGTGGGGTTTTCGCGCGGCAACTCCTGAGCTTGCTGCTGTTTTCAGCTCGGTGATTTGGTGCAGGCCCTTGAAACGGCGTTTGATGACCTGTCATCACTTCTCGCGAGACTCCACAAGTTCCCCAAAGTGTAGATTTGAGCTTCGGCCTCTGCAGCAGTCACTGCTTTGGTCAAGGCGTTGCCGGTGGCCTGAACAATCACCTCGAGCTCAGCAAGCATGTTCTTGGCCACAGCAGAGCAACATGTCTTCCCCGGTATTTACGCAATTCCTGAGTAAGTCTGATGCATAGGGCTTCTCGAGCTCATTGAAAACGGTGGCCGCACGCGACACGTACGCCTGGCATGAGTGATGCCTGGGAGCACAATTACGGTAGAACAGGTGCGGCCATGAAAGGCAGCCCAAATCTTCCTTCAAGGACCCCATAAACACCTGGAGTAAATCCTATCTTAAAACGCCTACGGGGAAAGCCCGACATTAGAAAACTCCTACAAAGCCCTAAAGCACTCTGAGCTCAAGCGAGGCCGGATGCGCAGACACACTGCCGGCCGCAGTCACGCGGATCTCCTCGTCAGTCTTCTGGATGTCCTCCTTCGCAGAAACAATTCTCGGTCGAGTGGATGTCGCCAATCCACCATCCTACCATTTCCCTTGAACCCACCTTGGGCTTCATCACCTTTCGGTACTTGTCCATGGCTGACTCCTCAGCACAGCGACACCCAGCCGGTGCTGTCGCATTCGGCGGAGATGGCAGCCGGACTTCTGAACTGACCCCAAACCCTAAACCCTAAATGTTGCCAAGAGGCTCAAGATCACGCGCAACCCGCCAACGGGATGTGGCTTTCCACCAATCAGTGTCTCGTGTAGGCCCTCGATCCGAAAAGCAGCGGACGGCCGAAGTCCGAACTGCAGCCTAATGTATTATGAAGTATATGTTATATACTATATATTCGAAGGATAATAATGTAAAGTACAGTAGTCTATACTTTATAACATATAGTATAAGGTATATCCCGTATGCTCTGTTACTGCACTCATCGCGGCACCACATTGTACCCGGAGATTCAGCTGTGGCGTGCAGGCAAAAGAGCAATGGCCTGTTTCCCCGGACCTCAGCAACAGCAGCAACCGCTTCGAAGCAACGGATTGCTCAAAATTAGGGAGATCCTAGACGAAGACAAGCAGCATCTTCCCCAGACAGTGTGGCGCGCGCCACTCCAAGAGCGCTGTGGAGGCACCTGATCATTTAGCTAAGGGCTGACCCTTATGTTTGTATGGCTCGACAAGGCATGATGCGGGAGATTCAGAAGAAAGTAGAGTTTCAAAAGTATCACATCTAGCGGTCCGCGCGTACGATGTCCGATGATTTGGGGTCTGTCTGAAATCACCTCGGGTCCGACACCCAGTGATCCCAAACCCTAAATCCTCAACCCTAAACCTCTGAAGCCCGAACAACTGTTCACGGCTCATGAAACGTGGCAGCAAGGACGACGAAAGAATCCCTACACATCACGGCGCCAGAAGCCCCTGAAACCCTAGAAACCCTATAAACCTACATCCCCAAGTCCCGAGATTTCCCGAAATTCCTAGACCCCCGGCACAAACCCTAAACCCTACCACCCTGAACCCCAAACTCCAAATCTCCCCTACACCCCAAACCCCCCAAGCCGTAAACCCTAAACCCCCTAAACTCCAAACCCCAAGCCCTAAGAATTTAGGGTTTAGGGTTTAGGGCTTAGGGTTTAGGGCTTAGGACTTAGGGTCTAAACCCCATAATCTGAGGCTCGAGCGACCCTTCGAGCAGATAAAGACCTCAGATGCCGCTTGGAGCCTTAAATGGTCTGTGGGTTTAGGGTTTAGGGTTTAGGGTTTAGGGTAGCTCCGCATCGAGCAATGTTTAGTCAAGCTTGGGCTGGAACATGGAAAAGTACCCACCCACCCAGAGAATCCCAAAGCATTGAGAACCATACAAAGGTTACCATCTTCCCTAAGCCCCATCTCAAAGAAAGCCAAAACGGAAATCCTAAACCCTAAAACGACACCCTAGACTGAACCTTAAGCGGACAAACGACCCTTGCCGACGAACTTTTCCCACGAAAACACGACCCTTGCCCACGAAAAAACAACCCTTGCCGCCCACGAACCTTGCCTACAAGGAAACAATCCTTGCACACAAAAAATCGACCCTTGCCCACGAAGAACGACCCTTGCCCACGATAAAACGACGAAATTCAATAACGGTTAAGAATACTGCTAGGTAGAGAGGGTTTAGGGCAAAGTTAGGGGACTCCTCATGAAACAGATCCTATCGTCCAGTGTTTGTACTACAGGAGCCCTAATGCTTCTTCCATGTATTCAACCATCGGATCGGGTCACGAGCACAAGTAAACCGAACACTCCGACATGAAACATCAAACGGCACAAAGGAATAATTGACCAGCTCCTAAATCCTATAGGGTTTAGGGGTATAGGGGTTTAGGGTTTAGGGTTTAGGGCAAACCCCCCTGAAGTTGCTGCCAGGTTGCTGGGTAGGGCACCTGAGCATTCGCCTTTCGCAGCTCGGGGCTGACCTTGGACGCAAGAGCCCACGCACGGGACTTCAACTTGGCGAGGGTTTCGGGTTGGGGGCTTAGGGACTTAGGGGCTTAGGGGTTTCGGGTTTCGGGGTTTAGGGTTTACGCGTTTATGGGTTTAGGGTTTAGGGTTTAGGGTTCAGGGGTTCAGGGTTTAGGGTTTAGGGTTTAGGGTTTGGGGTTCAAGGGTTTAGGGTTTCGGGGTTTGGGGTTTACGGGTTTGGGGTCTTCACATATGGGTGGTTGTCAAAATTATGGTTCCTATTTTGGGTCCTTATTATAATACGGCACCTATTATTTAGGGTACCCCAAAAAGGGACCATAATTTTGACAACTACCCATATGGGCATCATGAACTGTCAGAAGTGAGATGCGAGGAATATCCCACAGCTTAGCAAGAAGGCCAGCGGCCAAAAAGCCCTATCCCGCACAAGCAAGCAGGAAGATGCCTCAGGAAGAATTGAATAAAGTAGCAAAAATATCCCTGCAAAGTCCCTAGAGCAGTTGGACTATATTCTGGCCCGCCAACCTTCTTCCTATTCTGAAAGCAGGATTATCCTACACCCGAAGCCGCAAAGGCCCTACGAACCTTCTAGAACCATTACCCGAGTTTGTTGCTATTGTTGCAACTCTGATTATTGTTGCTGGTATTATTAATCTGACGTACTGTTACTGTGAGGATTATTGTCATTATTTGAAGATTATTCGCAGACCCCAAACCCTAAACCCTAAACCCTAAACCCTGAACCCTAAACCCTAAACCCTAAACCCTAAACCCTAAACCCTTTAAAGCATTGTTACTATTAAAGCCTTGGGCTCAGGGCGGAGAAGAACTCCAGGTGCAAGTCCGCGGCCTGGAGTCCCAAAAAGGGCATGGAAATGCAAGGAAAAGTACCACGAAACCAGGGCTTAGGGTGTTAGGACTTAGGGTTTAGGGTTTAGGGTTTAGGGTTTAGGGTTTAGGGTTTAGGGTATTAGGATTTAGGGTTGAAGGTTTAGCGTTTAGGGTTAGGGTTTAGGGTATATATTAGGATTCAGGGTGTAGGGTTTAGGGTTAGGTTTTAGGGTATTAGGATTTAGGGCTTAGGGTTTAAACCACGGCACCTTCCGCGACCCTAATAAACCCTAAACACCTTAGGGTGTAGGGCTGAATGGGGTTTACCCTAAAACTTAAACCCTGAACATGTCAGACCCTAGACCCTAAACCCTAGAACCTAAACCCTAGACCCTAAATACTTTAAGGCCTAAAGGTTTAGCGAACCCAAGACGCCAAAGCCTGAACCCTCAGGTCTATTCCATCAGCTACCTTAGCCTACCAGAACCTACTTTTTTGTAGGGTCCCTGTAAATCCCAGATTAGGGCCTATAATAAGAACCTACCTAAAAAAGTGGGTTCTGGTAGGTTGAGGTAAGCCTTGACGCTCCACCCATAGATCTCCATAGGGCCCCAAGCAAGCACATAAACGAAAAAGAGGATAGGGCTGTCCCACACAAGCCCCCTAATCATGAAGCCCAACACGGCAGGGATATCCCGATAAAATGTTTCTGCACATGTCGCCGTTGGGTCCCTAACTCTACTCCCATCATCTCCCAGAGACAGTAGCCCTCAACTACGGAACACACCTTCAATTCTATGGGGCTGTTGTAATACGATTGAAAGTATGTATGTATTATATATATATATATGTAGTCCTTACATAACCACTATGTACACGTAAAAATCGCAATCCCAAGGGGAAATAATTTCTATACATAGTTTGTTCTCAATGCCTCTGAACCCTAAACCTTAAACCCTACACCCTAAACCCTAATAAACCTTTTCTGAAAATACCAGGGGTATCTGGCCCTCCCGGGGTCCCCAATTTGGGTCTCGTGCCCTGGGACGTAAGCCCAAAACCTATATAGGGTTTAGGGTTTAGGGTTTGAGGGTTTAGGGTTCAGGGTTTAGGGCTTAGGGACCATATATGGGTAGTTCTCTACATTAGGGTTCCTTGTAAGGCTCCTTACAGGGATCCATAAGGGTATAGAGCGACCATAAGGTTGCTACAAGTTTATAAGAGTGCCGTACTACTTTAGGGACCCAAAACGGGACCCTTATTTAGAGAACTACCCCATATCGGGGCATTAATAAATAAAGCCGGCTTCTATAAGGGACCTATCAGGATCCCTCATAGGAGTAGGGCTTTGGGGTACATTGCTCTACAAGCCCATTCGGGACTACAATACTACCATGCTGAGCATGGGAACCCTGAAACATTCCATCTTTCAAGACACATTTTTACCGATTCGCCACCCTAAACCCTAAACCCTAAACCCTAAACCCTAAACCCCAAGCCATACTGCGCCGGTCCGAAAGTTCGTCGCACTCTATGTTGTTCATTTACAACAGACCTATCCAAACCCCCTTTCCCCCGTCCTCCAGAAGTCCTCCGCCTGGAACAATTATAATAGTATAATTTCATTCCGGTGTGATAATTCCTCCGCTAGCCAGGCTAGGGTATTCCTCACCTGCTGTACTCCGCGT